TGTCGGCAAACTTGCTGAGGGTGCACTCCATCCCACTGTCCACGCCACCGACAAAGATGTTAAAACAATGCTGGTCCCAACACCGACCCCTGAGGAATGCCACTCCTCACCGGTCTCCCACTGGACACCGAGCTGTTGACCACAACTCTTTGAGTGTGACCATCCAGCCAATTCCTTAAGTGTTCCATCCCTCAAATCCATGCCTCTCCCATTTAGAGACAACGATGTTGTGCAGGACAGCGTCAAATGCTTTGCACAAGTCCAGGTAGATGACGTCAGTTGCTCTTCCCTTATCCACCAACGCTGTAACCTCATTATAGAAGGCCACCAAATTTGCCAGGCACGATTTGCCCTTAGTGACGCCATGCTGGCTGTCACCAATCACCTCCTTATTTTCCATGTGCCTTAGCACAGTTCCCAGGGCGATCTGCTCTGTGATCTTGCCGGGCACAGAGGTGAGACTGACAGGCCTGTAGTTCCCCGCGTCTTCCCTTTTTCCCTTTTTAAAAGTGGGGGCTATGTTTTCACTTTTCCAGTCAGCGGGAACTTCCCCACACTGCCACGGCTTCTCAAATATGATGGATAGTGGCTTAGCAACTTCATCTGCTTCATCTGTAGATTAAGAATTCTACCAGGGCATGATTGCTGCAGCCCAGGCTACCTCCAATCTTGACCTCTCTGACAGTGAGCAACAGGTCCAGCAGTGCCTCTCCTCCAGTCAGGCTCGCCCCCACCCGTCCTGGGAAGGTGTCCTCAACACACTCCAGTAGTTTCCTGGACTGCTTGCAGTTCGCTGTGCTGCTTTTCCAGCAGACATCTGGGCGGCTGAAGTCCCTATCAGGATCAGGGCCTGCATTTCTCATTTCTTTCATACAACCCTTTCAAGAAACTCCTCCTGCTATTTTTAAAAGACAGTTTGTAAATAAGCATGGAAAAAAATGAAACCTGGCAGTTTGGTAATGTAAAGAGCAGTTATGCACATTTAAAAACAGGTTTTGACTTGTAAATGAGATCAACAAGATTTTGAAGTTAGAGTACTGTCCCTCTTCTTGCAAGTGGTACGCCAATCAGTAATTCCACTGAACAAAAGAGGAGCATTACAGTCCGATTTTGCAGTCATTTCCATTTAGAGCTTACGTAAGTGTCTCTCCCACCCTGGTCTGATATCAATGGCTGCTTTGCACTAAACTGGATACTCCAGATGCTGCTCAGGCTGTGAAAACCATGTCCATCACAACCACCAACAGCAGCATGTCAAACAACAAACTAGCAGGCTAAGGCTAGTTTAGCATCCGAAATTACACCCCAACTTACTTTTAGGTGTCTACACTGCAGACAAACTTCCTGAAACCTAGATGCTGTGCTGAATATTTTTTCTAGCCTTCATGGAAAGAAAACTCTAATCCAATCTAAACATAATATTCATCCAGTTACAAAAACCATTGCGTGATTTGGGCACACACCTGCAGTTTTCTTTTAGGGAGGGCAAGGTCCCTGCTATGCACCACTTGGGAATAATTTTAGACAAAACGGTTTCACTGACATGATAAATAAAAGAGCTGTGAACCAGTATTCTTCCCAAGGTCATTTACTCTAGTTATTTTCCTCAGTTCTCTGGAAAAAGCCATAGTAGAACTGTCCTTGTTTGGAAAACATTAAAGAAATGTCTTTCCTTCAACATACAGTTGTTGTTTTTCCCTGGGTTTGTGTTAAAGGCTCTTCAGTGTTAGAGCTAAGGGATTTTACGAGTTGAGAGAGAACAAGGTGGAAGGGAGTGGGGGGAAGTAGGTGAATGGACCTAGTTAGTAAAATTTAGCTCCCTGTCGATGCGGGACTGTTACCTTCAGCAAAGGTATTGCGTTTTTTCCCATTTTAGTATTAAACACCCGCTACAGAATGCCATTCACTGTCACAAATGCAGTAGTATTCCACAGCCTCTTCTATTCTACTGTCACAAAACATTATCCTCACGCTCAGGTTTTCTCCCCATTAGCCCTAACTGTGTTAAGCCAGACACTCTTGGGTGTACTGATTTAATTTCCCATTCTGTGCTTAATCAGATATTGTGGCTCAGAAGCTAATTCCTTCAATTCTTTTAGTCTCTTTTACCGACATGTCGTATTTCATATAATGTCATACTCAATATACTGGAGTAGTTCACACCAAAAAAAATACACAAAGTGAACATCTTAACCAAATGCTAGCAGAAAGACAAACTCAGAATTAAATTCGCAAGAATCCACGGGCCTTACAGAAAGAAATTTGGTTACAATTTTGACATGTGTTCCAACTCTGCACACCATTCATAAGCCAAGATGCTGCACAGGCCTACCGCTAGCTATGCATGAGGTCGGCACCTCAGACCGACCGCTGGTTGTTCAGACATGGCATCCTGCTATGGACCTGCTCAAAATTTTCTTATTAAAGAGGATACATTACCTGGACTTCTCTGCTTGCAGATTTGAGCAGTCAGATCTTGTACGTACTCCGGGAATTGTTTAAAGCAGTCCCCGTAGGACACGACCTTTATTCCGTGCAGCAGCATATCTGCCTGGAGCTTAAAAAAGTGGTCTTCATTTTCTTTAAGCACCAACATATAATGTTCCAAATCTGCTTTATTTTTTACAGTATAAAGAAATAGAGCTTGGAATATCTGATCACGCAGAGTCTCTCCGCAGCCCAAAAACAGAAAAGACTTGGTTCGATACAAATTTTGAAGAACTTCCTGTTAAGAAATATAAACACACAAGAGCTACGTTTGCTTCAGTAGTCAAAAGGCCAAGATAAGAACTTTTAAAATATGTCAGACTTACAAGGAGAAGCAGAGCAGACATCACTATTGATCTGAATTAAGCATGTATTTTAGGATCAGGACAAAGTGACATTTCATAAACACTGTTTCTACAAAAAAAATTTATATTCAAAAATCAAAGTTAGCATACAAAAATTAAGTACACACGTAAATATTTCCAGTAGGGAATTTTAAATTGCAAGAATTATGATGACAGAATATTAGGCTCCCGGTAGGTCAATCTGTAAATAAGGAAAATTAATATTATTGACCAAATGTTTGACTTCTTAAAATACCTAAGATACAACGCTAAGTCCAGGATCCAGAGCTGCTAACGGCTTAAGCCCCTAAAAAGTGAATGTGAGCAATCAGATGGTGAAGAATCCTTGCTTTGGTGTCTAGTACTTTGGGGCTAAAGTTCCTTCACAAGATAAAGACAAAGAACTCTCAAACTATGACATACACCTGAAGGTTTTGATTGTGATTTACAAAGAAGCGGTATACAAAAGCATACATTGACCTAGCAACATAGCTGGCTTTCTGAATAATACTGCCATTTTTCTGGGCCCCAGTTATTTAATCTGTATGATCTGACAAAACCCTAGCCTTACGTAATGTGTATGCAGTGATTACAATAAAAGAGTTTGGCAAAACATAGTAAAAATTTTAAAGATCACACAAACCATGACTTCAGGATCTTGAGTAACATCTTTATATCCCGAGGGATCTAGCACCATTCCACAGGGATCTGTATATAAGCCATGAATATGAAGAACTCCATATTTTATATGGCCTCTTGCCCACTGGAGAACCTAAAGCAAATCATGCAAGTTACATTCTTTCGTTATACTACACTAACAGAGACTCTGCAAAAATACACAGCTGTCCTAACTTATAAAACCACTTAAAGCAGAAATAACTTCTTTTGCACTCTTCTACAGCAAGAAACAATTTTAATTACTAATTACACAGCTTACTTTAAACGATAATAAAGAGGTGACAGCTTCAGTATCAGCAATCTCTGGCTTTTTGGTCTAAACAAGCATTCAACCAAGAAGCAAGCTCCAGCAACTCTGACAGAAAAGACGTGAACAGCAAATTAACTACCAGCTAGGTGAAATCTTATTTGTGATTGTAACAATTACTTCGCGCACGTTAAATAAGTTTGCATGTTTTTTCCAGGGAGTCAGGCGAATTGGTTAATAAATGTGTCACTGAAATTCTCTTTGATAACTGTTACCAGATTATTCATCGTAAAAAGACACGTAAAATAAATGTCTGTGCATCTGCTGTTAGCTTAGAGACACGCTTTACCAATTAAGAAGTTTTAGCCTTGACACTCTTGAAACAGGAAAACATCTTTCAATGAAGCTTACAAGCTGCCTTCTCTTATAAGTCTAAAAATTTTACTGCTCTCGTCATACCTTATCCTTATCTTTCAAGTCTAAAGATTCCATAGGTTTACCCTGTTGCTGACCAAATATTTCAAGTAAATTATCATAGTTTGTAGTCAGAACCATCGTGCCTCTCTCCATGAGTCTCAGGATTGATTGCAGAACAGCAGGATTCTGAATGTGTTGTTCTAAATTATCAAACACCTCCATCAAGCAATCCTGGAAGAAGTTGGGCTTCGTATCCCCAGTACGCTGAAGAAAGAAAAAGATGAACACTTCATAAGGACCACGTGAACCATTATAATGGCCTCCAACAGAAAACCCACATCAGTTGTCTACTTAATGCCAAAGCATTTCTTTAGAAGGCATACACATTATACCAAGCATAAAGGCCTAGATGTAGAAAACCATCAAAAATTATCTCAAATTATTCAGGTGCTCTTGCCTCCACTTAATGTAGCTCAAAATAAGAGTCTGGTTTTCTCAAGGAAGCTTGTAATACAGGTACAATAAAAACAAACTTATTTTGCAGCTCATCACTTCTAAACAAACGTGAAGGTATGCTGTCCTAAAAGCATAGGCTGTGTTTGCCCAGAGTTATCTGCTTCCTCTTCAACAAACTGTATTACACACGGAACAAATGTCTGTCTGTAAGCCCAATACAGTTACTGGCCTAACTACATGGAAACGTCACCTTTCTCAGTATGCCTTTACTGCTTTCAAAATCAGTTCATGTACTAAAATTATCATTGGCCTGGATTTAGAGTCTGGGATATACTATTAAAGGTGGGGGTTTGGTTTTGTCTTTTTTTTTTTTTTTTTTTGGCTTCCTGGTTCAGAAAAATGTATTAATCATTAAGTCTGCTACAAAGCCCAACCATACATGCAGACTCCTCCCAAAAGAGAGAAGTTATTATTACCCTTTGCCTGTAGAGAAGCTCACCACATGTTGCAGAACGCTCAACATATCCTGCAGCTTAGCAGGACGTATGTCACCCTAATTATTTCAACTAGAAGACTTGGCAAACCTGCTAAGACCATCTGAAAATCTCTGGAACCTAAGAGGAACGGCTGAGAAACTAGGCATGTCTGGACTGTCTTCAGTGAAGTGTGAGCTGCAGCAGTGATTAAGCCTGTGTGATCGAAGGCTACCAGCAGGGTCAAGGTCTACCTGTATTTTTAGGGTATCTCTCTCCAGTTTTAGCCAGCAGAGCTATAAATTCCTCTTGCAGTTCCAGCAAATATTTAATAGTCAGGACTCTTGCTTGCATGAATTGTGACAAAAGCTTACTGACACTAAGAACAAAGGATTTTTTAGCCTCTCCAAAACGTACAGTGTACGACATGATTACCATCAAAATTTCAATTTTTACCAGAAAAATAAGTTTTAGAAAGCCAAAAAGAATTTTTGTTGATAACAAAATAAAAGTATGTAATAATTTCAGAAATCAATACAAGTTATAAGCATACTCACTGGTGACATTTTCCTGATGAGATCATGTGCAACCACAAGCAGGTCTCTATCTTTGGTTACTTTTTTACGAAATTCAGCAATATCTCCTGGATGAAGCACCTCCAGTTCTTCAGCTGCTTCAATTACAGCCTCAATGCAGCTTCTCCAGGAGCACAGCGCTGGGATTCCTGGGGCTACTGCAGCGCTTACCCCAGTTCCAATCACAAGAAGAAGGTCCTGAGGCTGCTTTCTTATTAGACTTTTTAAGAATTTTCTTTAAAACAGAAAGCAAAAATCTTCATTTTTTACAGTGTATTTTCTAACTTGTATGAAGATGTCGCGACTGACTCAAGAAGTCCACATGAACTATTAACGCTTGTGCAAAATACTGACCAACCAAAAGGAACCCAGCTCTCCATTTCTATGCAGAAGAATGGTATTGGCAGCAGTTCACAGCCTTCCCCAAACCGACAATGTACTTTAAGTCTTTTTGTCATTTTAGACAAATGTGCAAAATTAATTTAAGCCAAAAAAAGGGCAACAACTTCCAATCACTAATGTCTTTGAGATTCAAATTGACGATTGCCAATTTGCAGTCCACTGGCCCAGCCAAACACCATTTCAAATGAAATTCTGAAAAAACTAGTCAGAGAATTGTCCAATGATTTACTTAATAAACGTCTGACAGAAAGTAAGTAGCACTATTTCAAAGGGAAAAGTCACAATATTTCAAAGAAACAAATTTTTGTTTTTCTGGGAAAAAGCAGTATCTTTTCTTCTCATTTATTCTCACTTTAGGACACATCAACATAAGACCAGCCATGCTTGTTCAGATCAAGGGTTCATCTATCCCACTATTCAGACATTACTAACTACAGATTACTCTCAAAGGCATATTTGGTTCTACGTTAGTATTCACTGTGCAAGCCAGCACAAGAAACTGTTGAGAACTGTCTAGCTTTCTTGATTACTTTGCAAAGAAGTGAAAATGCATTTAAACCATACAGCGAAATCGCTACAAACAAGGATTTTGGTAATACAGAACCTTAGAATCCCCTTGACTTTCAAAACTACCTTTACAGATTTTTAATTCCTGTTAATCTGGTAATACAGATGCTTAACATCTCTTATTTCACAACCATCTGAAACTATCTAGCTAAAACTATAATGTTTAACTTGAAATGGTCTCAGGCAAAGCAATTAATAAGCATGTAGATAAGGTTGCTTGCTAATGCCTACAAAGACTATGTTGCTGATAATCCCCAGGCCTTCCTGCTACATTCAGCACAAACTGTTTCCTCTCAGCAAGTATATTATTTATTCCTCACAAACAGCTTAACCGAGTATGAAGCACTCAGTCCATGGAGAAACTAGTTTCTGGGATCATGTCAAGTTTTCAAGCATGATGTTCTCGTCTCTAACTTTCAGTAAGGTATTACTACTGTGTTTTCAGATTTTCATTAAGAGTTTTGTATAACCTCTCCAAGTTACCTGGATTTCTGCTCACTTCTAATTGTTGTTTGTTCTGATGAATCCATCTCTGAGCCCTAAGTAAAACAAAAAGTTAAATAATTCTTAATGCTTCTACCTTAAAAAAGGCCAAAATTAAAACTAGATGTATTACTGTTAGCATTTTCTATTTATTCTTATCAAGTACTTTAAAATCAAGACCCTGCACGTCATATCCCAGTTGAGCAACGCACTGATAGAAACAAAGCTGACAGAGTACGAGTGGGTAAACCTACCACAGCTCCATTTAAGCTCAGTCGATTGACATTTTGAAGCTAACAGAGATATGACTATTTATGCAGCTGAAAATTACTTGTGTCTAAATTCAAGATAAAATTTATCATAGCCACGAAAATGTTAATTCATTTCAAGTAAATGAATGCATTTCTTCAAATTATTTTTTTCATAATAATCAGCTGATTCAACCAAGTTTGTGGAAACCGGATTTCTGCAACACATAATGATCACGAGAGGCCCTGTGCTAGCCACTTGGCTACTCTACCAGACCATATAACATGAAAGATTTTTTTCTCAGCAAGTATTTTAAATAAAAACTTGTTTCTGTATCATCTATACTGTGTTATGTCTAAAGCATATGAAGGACTGCATCTTGGCAAGAGAATCTGGCTACAATATCGTCACTTAGAAATCCCCAAGTTTCATTACATTAATTCTTGGGTTTGTTTTTATAAGGATGTGTTTTTCGTTTGGCTTTGAAACACATCTTAGTTTGTGGCTGTGGAGATTGCAGACCCTAATCCCTCAAATACGCATTCTGCCAGACCCTATGGCTCAGAAGGCTGCTTGCCAGCTATCAGGTTCACAGGCTGGAAGCTAATTTGGAAGCAAAAGGCCTAAGTTTGGAGATCTTTTGACCAAAAAAACCAAACCAAAACAACGAAAATATAAGAACGAAAGCAAAAAACCCCACCCTATGGCAGAGGGACATCAGCGTTTCTGAGGCAAACACACAGATCTCTTCTGCAAATGCACCCAGGACGTCTTTTCGAGTGGAAAAATCTTTTCTTGTAATATTTATTTTCTCCATGCTCCCTTCCTTCACTGATGGTATCCCACAAAGATACTACACTATCATCTGAAGAACGTTAGCACATTCAAAATTCAGAACAACCACCTTTCTAAAGCAAAACACTTCAAAATCTAGAGAACAAGATTCCTTTATATATGGAAAAGTTATGAGTCCACAATGCAAAAACAACACATGAAGGAAGTGCAACTTATTTATTCTGAAAAAGGCTGTATTACTTTATAAACCCATCCAGTGAAGTATTTCGGAAACCATCATCATGGAAGCTTTAATAATTACATTAGTAACTTACCAAAATTAATAAAACAAGCATCTCGCCACCAGATGCTGTCAGTACCAACATTAGACCCCATTGTTTCCTTTTATCCCTTAAAGTTGCTTCCTGGAAGCAAATAAGTGGTAACAATTATCACCAACTCGTAATAGCTAAATGGCAGCAAATGATAAAGGTCAAATTTCTCCATGCCTTGGAGTACCGAGTAATTGTGCTGAGTCTTGAATATTCTCTTATTAGAGGTAACAAGCACTTCTTCAATGAGCATACCTAGAAAAGCAGAGGGCCCGGGCACCAGCATTCAGCACTGGTTTACTTTTACGAAGACACACTGGATGAACCAAAGGCATTCGCAGTTTCTTTCCAACAACCTTTCCTCCTGGCAGCCTGGAAATCGGACCCCGCTATAAACCAGATGTGCCTGAAAGTGCTGAATGGGAGCTGGGTCTTTACTCCAAACACAAGAAGAGTTCATCAGAAAAAAATTCTAGTTTCACATTTTCTTCCTGTTCAAGAAAGTAAGTTTTATTTAAGGATCTATCTGTGAAATAAGAGCTCTATTCACTGACTGAAACATCCAGGTCAACGGTTCGACTGAACGAAACGGTTTTCCCAGGCAGTTTAATACAGGAGAACAGCCTAAAATGTTCACCCCAAAGGAGGCACCGGGCAAAGGCTCGGCTCCCGGCCCTGCCCACCCCACGCGTCCGCCGATTCTCTCTGGCAAAACACCGAGGGCACCAGGCTGGGCAGGACAGTAGCTTCTGCCGAGTTACAGTTACAGTCCCCGTCTCCCTCCGGTAACTGAACCGGCGTTACTCGGCGCAGCGAGCGGGCACGGCAAGAGCCCGCCGGCCTACACCGACCTCCGGGCCGGCGGCGGCACTCCTCCT